CTATCTGCTAAAGCAGGTTCCCTGGAATAGGTTACGTGAGAAAGTGTCTAGGAGAGTTTTGAATGTCTCTGGAGAAGGAGACTCCACAACCTCTCTGGGCAGCTTATTTCCATGCTAAGTAACCCTCAAAATAAAGAAAAATTTTCCTCATGTTTGTATGGAACTTCTTGTGTTCCAGTTTGTTCCTGTTGCCCCTTGTTCTATTGCTCAGAGTCACTGGAAAGAGCCTGGCCCATCCACTTGATCCCCACCCAAAGGATATTTATGAACATTGATAAAATCCCCTCTATTTCTCTTCTCCAAGCTCAACTGTCCCAGGTCTCTCAGCCCTTCCTCCAGGACCTTAATCATCTTTGTGGCCCTCCACTGGGCTCTCTCTAGAAGTTTCCTGTCTTTTTTTGGTATGGAGTAGCCCAGAACTGGACACAGTCGTCCAGGCCTCACCAGGGCAGAGTAGAGGAAGAGGTGTACCTCCCTTGACCTGCTGGCCATATTCTTTATAATGCATCACAGCATACAGTTGGCTTTTGCCTGATTTCTTACTCTTAGGAATTCATCAATCTTGAATTTGGAAGGAGTGATGCTTGAATGTCAACCAGTTCTCTTGGGCCCTCTTACTTGCCAAAGACCTAACCCATGGGGCACCTCCAAGTAGGTCCTTGAAGAGGTCAGAGTTGGTTCTCCTGAAATCCAGGGCTGCAGTCCTACTTATTGCCTCATTTCTTCTACAGTCCCAAACTCTGCTATCTCATGGTCACTGGCTGCCCCCAACCTTCGCATTCCTAGCCCACTTGTTCCTTCCTTGTAAGAACAAGGTCCAGCAACACACTTCTCCCTGTTGGCTCCACTATCACATGTGCTAGAAAATTATCTTTTTTTTGAAGTCCCCCATGAGAACCAGTGCCTGTGATCATGAGGATGCTTTCAAGTGTCTGTAGAAGACTTCATCAACTTTCTCCTCCTGATCAGGCAACCTGCTGTAAATACCCACAACTATGTCACTCATGTTAACCTTAATTCTCACTCATAAGCTCTCCATTCATTCCTCATCATTCTTTAGGCAGAGGTACACACTTTCCAGTAGTTCTCTCATATAAAGAGAATTCCACTGGCTTGCTTTGGTGGTCTGTGTTTCTTAGTATGTAGCAATCCATTATAGCATTCCAGCCATGAACTGTCCTACCATGTCTCCATGATTGCAGTGAGATCTTGGCTGCAATCACACACAGATCTCTAATTCTTTATGTTTATTCAGGATATTCAGTTTCCCCAGTGGGATGTTTGAGGATTCCACATAGCTATACATAGACTTGAAGTGACTGGCCTTCTGGCTTATGTCATGGAAGGCAGTGAAGGAACGTCTGTCATTGATCTGGTTGTCATGACTTATTCCCCGGTTGGTTGCAATGGTGAGAACATTACCATTTTGGATCCAGTCCCCTAAGTCCTTCAGTTTAACGCCTGTCTCATTTAGTTACCCTGGCTGCTACCAAAAATTGCCCTTTTTGTGGACAGGGAGGAATGGGATCCACCTAACAGGTTACAGTCATCACAGAAAGTTACACATAAAAACCAAAACCCTTCCACCAGCACTTGCCATATAGACAAGAGTTGATATGTGTTATGTCTGTTTCTGGATCCCCTCTTTCCTCGAACTGGTTGAATTAGTTTGACTTCATTCTGAGATTTTAGAACCATTTCAACTGTTAGCTTAAGGTGTTGTGTTTTTTTTTTAATTATCTTATGCATATTTTCTTGTCTGAATGTTTCATCAGTTCATCAGTGTAAAATATGTTACATTAGAAGAGAGGAGATTGCTATCTTTCCCTAATTCTTTTCAACTCTTTGTGACAGTTTTGCTTGTGTTTCTATGTCATCCTTTGCTTCAAAAAAATAAGTGGCTTACATTTAAAAGTTTTTATAAATCAGATGCAAAGCTACAATGCCCTTTTCTTGTGTTTGTTTTTTTTTTTTCTTTAAGCACATATACTATGATACAGTTCCAGAAGAAAGATTTAGAAAGATTTGCACAACTTTAGCACAATATAATAGAATGTATGGAAACCAGAAACAGACGTAACTCTTACTTAAAACCAGGAGTAAATTTTCTATTTAGTAACCTGTTTCATTTTTCATTTATTTAACACATTTTTCATTCAGTTAAGAGTTTAGCTTGAAAACATGTTCATCAGAAGCTAGTCAGCCTAAGTTAAGTGATTGCTTTGATGGTTCCTTTTTTTTTTTTTTTTTAAAAAAAAAAAAAAAAAAAAAAGCCAGAAGATAAGCTGTATTTTTTTTGCAACTAACTTGCATAGTGCATTTTAGTCTGATATGCTTGAAAGTCTTACCAGACATCAAGAGCTTGGTTATCTGATCTATAGGATACATCTTGCAGTCTCAGCATGACTTTTTTTTTCCTTCTGATATAATCACAGAGACAGCAGTATACAGTACTGTATAATTTTGATTGGAAAATTGGTATGATGTTCTAATAATTTTCATTTGTAAAAGCTAATGCACTGCTGCTTATACTGTGAAATACAAACCCATGGATCAATTCAAACTTTATAGAAAACACAAATATATGTTTCTGATTACAGGCCAAGACCAGCTTTGACAAAATGTACTTGCAATATTCATCAAGCAGTAAACCATGAGTCCAGCAGGTCACTAACACATTATGTTAGACAAAGCATCAAAAATCTGCCAGCCAACCAATAAAAATAAGTAAACAAATAAAACCCGTAATAAATAAATAATATTATAAACAAAGGTCTGACGAGAGTTTGTTTTTTATCCAGAGTTCAAGCTCTCTGCTGTATGACAGCTTTCATAAAAAACTTCAGTTGGTGTCATTTTGAGGGGGTGGAGGAGCCTGAGGGATCATCAGAAATACCAAGACAAAAAATTCAGGTGTAACGGTGTTTTCCAGATTTCATTGAAAATGTGAAGATTTTTTTAGGGAAAAATTATGTTTGTGTGACACATTAGTTTGTAATAATAAGAAAATATTCTGTTATCTCCAGTACTGCCCTCTTCTGAAGACCGTTTTTAAACCATCTGTCCTTCTCCACTGAGTTGGGATGTTATTCCTCAGATCCTAATTCCTGATTATGTATTTATTTTTATCCTCCCCAGAAATAGCTGTGGACAAAAGATCTCAATGTAATACATCAAGTTGTTCTAAATTTCTTTCAGAATGTTTGACATTCATTCAATCAAGGGGCTTTTTGAGCAAATATTCTTCCTAACCAGCGTGGTTGCCGTCTGTTAAATGCTGGGAGATGTACTTTGATTATGCTGTGTGATGTTGGTGCCACTGCTGCATGATGCTGTGAGGAACCATCTGTGATCTGCAGATATTAAATCATGGAGGAAGCACATTGACCAGATACTTTTCATATAAAATTCCTTCCTTTCTCTTTGTTTTTCTGCAGCTATGGGAGATTTATCCTTGCCTCCTCTATGTTAACGTGAAGAGCAGGTGACATTATGGAGCTGTGCAGAATTTCAGTCTTTGGGGCTGATGGCTGTTAGTGCTTATTCTGGCAATTTAAACACCTTCTCTTTGTTCTTTCAAGAAAAGGAAGAGAAGCTTCTATCCAACAGTTTAAGTAGATAATGAATGGGATTTGTCTTTAATCTACATCCCTGCCAGTGAAGCTGGGTGTTCAGGTTGGGAGGTAATGCAGCAAATAGGCACCTCTGAAGGAATTTGATTCAGTTTTCTCCAGCACTGACTCCTCCAAGCAGGTGAAAAAAATTCTTTCTTCACTCTCCATTGCATATGCATAAACAGCTCCACAGTCATTGGGACAGCCACCCAATTCACACGTTTGAGATGTAGCCCATAAAACCTTCCAAAAAAACCCTCTTCGCACTTTCCCATCTTCCCTGTTGCTCTGCTCGATCTGCCAGCCGTGCAGCTCATTTGACATTTACAAGATTTCTTGTCAGTTTCATTTGGTTCTGCCATCCCATCCAGCAGAGCAGCGAAAGTGAAATTGCCTTAATTCAGTCTGTTTCTCTTCCCTGCTCTAGTCCCAGTGTTAACGAACCCGTGGAGTGGAACTGACAACAGTTCTTGTCACTTTCACACCTGGAGCTGGTCAAGGAGAAGGCTGCTGAGAGGGAGCAATGCAGGAAATTGGAAGGTGAAAACTGAGGCTGTGAAGGGGAGAAGAAGAGACATGTGAGCATACAGCAAGAACAGAGAGACTGGATAAACAAGCTTCTTTTACCAAATGGCCTAAGTGCTTTTCTCCAGCCTGGGTGAATTCTGAAGAGCCTGTGGTCTAGAGCAGCTGACACTAATTTACAGGGGGTGCCAAGACAGAAATATTAGTCTATAAATGTAAATTACCTGGTACGAGGATGAAGAAAACATCTTGCCCAGTCTGTAGCTTTTGTCTCTGCAGGCTTGCTGCTGTGAGAAGGAAGGGGTCAAAGAACAGGAGGCCAAGATCCACTATAGGTTGCTGTTGTTGGTTTGAAAAAGAAAGGACTATTTGTTCACTGAAGATAAGCTTATGCATAATAAAACATAGCTCACCATCTCAAATTTTGTGAGGTTTCATGGAGCTAAAATTTGTACTGCTCAGGTGCTCTAGATCAATCTGAATGGTAAATAATGAGCAAACAATTGCTTTGTAGCAAACTACTGCAGTTAAAAATACACTTCTTAACTCCTATGATCTTTTGCTATAAACCATGCCGGTTTATTATTATATATATGAATCTGTATTTCTTATAGATGCTGTATGCATATGTAACTGTTGCAGTTGTAATATAAATGACTGGTATTGTATATATTTGCATATGCCCTGGTAACATATGCACATATGTTTTGAATGAAGCTATGTTAATTGTATTACCTTCTTTTCCTCAGCTTCCAGAAGAACAGCCTTTATTTGAGACCTTGGGGTTTTTCTTTCTTTCTTTCTTTCTTTTTTTTCTTTTTTTTTCTTCTGAGACGTATTTTGTTTGCTTCACCCATCTAGGAATTAAATAGTTTTAATTACTTGGACCTGTATAAGCTTGCGGACCTCTTCAACCTCACTTTGTTGGAGAATGCAGTGGTTGACTTCTTAATAAAACATCTCTCTGAGCTATTGAAGAGTCATCCTGAAGAAGTTCTGGCACTCCCATACTGTCTCCTTCGAGAGGTTTTTAAAAGTGATAGACTCACTTCACTCAGTGAAGAACAAATCTGGCAGGTAAGAAGACTGGTGAACGAGCAGAATGTGTGATACTCTCTTAAACTATTGCAATGCATTGTTGTTTTGGATCCCTGAAGCAATCTCAAGTGAGAAGAAATGTTGAGGAAAAAGCTGCGAATAACAACTGCAGGAAATTTTAAAATTGATTTTTAAAAATGTATTGCATGAATGCAATTAGATTGTTTGAAAGAAAACTTTATTTTATTGGTTAACTTGTGTTATTTAGATGCGGCCGGAGATTTTCTTCCAGATTCACCTTCGACTGGTGGGAAGAGATGGCTGATGCATCTGACGCAATTGTCATCATCTCTGGTAGGGCTAGTGCCACAAGGCTGGTAGCAAATCTGCTGCTGCAGTCTGTCCCGTTTGCTTCAGACAAGCTTAGCTGCATTACTTCAGCTAGCGCTTGCAATCCTTTACTGCAACTGACTTTGCCTGAAGGAAACTGAACTGCTCTACTCAAAGACGAGTGGAGGCTTTGGTGGAAGCTTTGTAGCAAGAAACTGTTGATGGAAAACATTTCCTTTAAATTAAGTTGGATACAGAAAAGCACCAGGTTGCCAACCGTAGAGTATTAACAATATTAAAACATTGTCTTGCAACCCCTAGTATGAAGGGAAAAAACATCTATCGCGTAAAGAGAAATACAAAAACTAAACCTAAACATGTCCCTGGAAACATTCCTATGAGATGTCTGTAAAAATTGCAGCTTGTGATATAGTGGAAATTAATCTCTACAACGTTTGTTACCCAAACACTTCTTCTTTTTGCTGTTTTATAGACGGGAAGTATTTCAGAGTATTTTAAGGTAGAATATAATTTGCTTGAAAGAAATCTGTGCTTTCTTTTAGGAAGCTGGTTATCTTGGTCCATCAGAGAAGACTGAGAGTCTTTCTATTGATTTGTATTTCAATCTCTCTTATTCATCTACTTATCTTTTGGATTATTTAACTATACAGTTTCATGAATATGCCATTGTTTTCTCAAAGTGTAAAATGTGTGTTCACTTTGTAGGGCAATTCACCTTCCACGGATGAATAGTTTCATGCAGGAAGAAAGTATTCTTACAAAATGAAAGTGTATCGTTAAGCTCTTCAAACCACAAAGACAGTGTGCAGGTGCACCTTAATCCTTCAGGCTGATAACTGACACAGCATTTTCCAAAACTTTGAGGCTAGCTTATGGAGTATTCAAGAAGATATTTTCTGCAGATAGTAATGTAGAGCTAGAGTGTTTCTTGTGAAGATCTCTGGAGGATGTCTGTACAACAGAAACTGCAGCAAACTATCTGTGATGGTTTTGTTGTTGTTGTTGTTGTTTTATTTTGTTTTGTTTTTAGGCAGGATACTCTGGAGTCCTAGCCCATATTCTGTTTCTCATAAAGGGTTTTGATGTACAAGTTTGTATAGGAGGCATGTCTGACTGATTTGCTTTGTTTTTCTGCAGATTCACTTAAATCTCCCAGCTATATGCTTGTAGATACTTTTGCTAGAAAAGTAGCTGCAGAAAACCATTCAGGTATTATTTAATGCCAGCTCTGTAATGAACAAGCATGCACAGGGTTGTGTCCAGGTACACTGTGCAACCTGCTGAAACAGTTCTGGAATTTGGGTTTTTAAATCTTGTGTCATTATCCTATCCTGCAGGAAGAACTCAGAAATGGCTTTCTTAATAGTGCACACTCCAGTCAATGGGCACTCAGTGAGGAAAAGCTTATGTTTCTGTCGGAGGACCGTATTGAGGAGAGATACTCATAGGTAATACGCTGCTTTTTGAGTGATAACAAACTCCACACTGTCCATTTAAGTGTTATCATAATTGCCTCTCTAAAGGTTACTAATGCTGTTATGAAGAATTTTTTAAACTAGTTTTCTGCTGTAGGCAAAACGTGTGCATCTTTTAATTCAGTCTGTACGCCCGGGAATAAATATGTATTTACAAATATTCCAGGTCTCTAGAATGAATTAAAAGACATGCATACATACTTACCAATTTAGGCATTCAGAAGGCAATAAGAAACTGGTTTTGCTTTATCTTAGTAAATACGTAATTCCCTCATAGTCAACCCAATAGAAGAAAATCAAATCAGACCGACTGTATTGCCTCAAGTGTAGTTAAGTTCATCATTTTTGCTAAGGTTATAGTGGTAATGCAATATACCATGGAAGAATCTAATATTCAGCCCAGGGTGAAGATTGGGTATGCCAGAGGATTAGTGTCAGGGTGCTTTATAGAAGTGAAACTTGATGGACAGGTTGGAGACAGATCTACAGAATCTCATTAAATTGCTGAATTGTTCATTACTGAGCACTCTCACTGTAATAAAGTGCTCATTGACTTTGACAAATCCCCATCCCACGTCTTAAGGAAGAACAGCAAAGCAAGAGGTGTTGGGGAAGCTAGAGGAAATTGGCACTAAGTAGGACAGATAATATAAAAGCTGATGGGGGATGCTGCCATTTGATTTGCCTGTCTTACCTGTAACTAGTGGTGCTTCCTCTGCATACATGCACACACGTGTTATGGCAAAATAAACTCACAATGTCCCTAAGGCACCTTTACTAGGAGGGCTCCAAGGAAGCCCTAAGCATAAATTCAAGCTTCCCTCAACAAACCTCTGGAAAAGATGTCGCTGTCTGGAGAGCAGAGTTATTTTTGGTAATTTAAATTCCAAATGTCCACTGGGCAATTAAATCCTGCTGCACATAAAGATTAAGGCAGTTATTTTAACGCGTCAAGATACACAGAATGATGTCTGAATGCGATATACACTGAAGTGATTGCATCTCACACCTGTCACATCTGGGATTTTTGTTAGACTACCAATCATGATTTGCCCAATTTCAGTCAATACTGTAAAATACAAGCTTGAACAAACCATGCTTGAAAAAATCAAACAGTAATATTAATGTCAATATGTTAGGATGTGGATTAGTGTAGTATGACTTGGTGATTCCTGTTGAATCTTTCAGGAGGAAAAAGGTGACTTGTAAACCTAGTTAAAGTGGACAAATGACACAGTTCACTTCTCTTATTACCTCTCAAAATCTTAAGAAACTCTTCAGTAAGCATCTTAAAATAGTGGAGAAAATAGACAGGAGATGCAATTATTTGCTTCTTAAAGCAAGTAAGTGGAAAGAAAATCCAGCAGAAACCCCCCGAAGGCTAAGAGATGGGAGAGAAACTTGCGAGCCTTAATGTAATGATTGTTTTAATGAGGCTAAGCTTGTAACGATTATTAGGTGACACAGATTTTTTTTTTTTCATATTGATTTCCACATTTTACCAATGTGTGAGATTAAGAAATATTATCTGTGATTTGTCAGCTGCATTAAGGTATGAGTTTGGCTGAATAAAAATAAAGGACAAAAATCAAAGAAGAATCCTGAAGATGTTGGAGGACAAAAAGCAAATTCTTTGCTATTTTTTCTATTCATCACGAGCTGCCCAGCATGTTTTATTCACAAGAATAATCATGATGAGGACATAAATGTCTAGTTTATCATGGAGTGAAAAGTGAATCCTTCCATAATTGGCCATTACTAGACTGGCTCTACTTTAAGGAAGCAGATGAATTCTTTCTCTTGATAATTGAGAAGGTAACCGACATTGCACAAAAGAAAGCATTCTCAGAGATATCTGTCAAGAGAGAGCTTCTTGCTGACAACATAGAAAGTAGAAACCAAGCCAAAATTTTAAGTAATAAACTCACGTTACGTTTAGTTGTAACACAGGTGTGCCTTATCATATTTGTGATTAAAAACTTTGATGTCATGAGGCTAAACTGACCTATTTTTAACTGTGTTTTCTTGCACTTCATCTCCATTTGGAATCTGCTTGTGACAATTGTGGACAGCTAAGTGTGTTCTCCAACAGAAATCCCATTATGCGATGCTGTTAGAAATGTTGCTGCATGCACGTGGTAGCAGGCTGTTACAATGGAGCAATGCTCTGCCAGAGACAGACTCTCTGACATATGTGCATCTCCAGTGATGCCTACATCTTCCTATGCTGGACAGAAGTGTCTAGAAGTGGGTTGTCATGTTTCACATACAAACTTGCCATTCCATCAGTGCAGTACTTCAGCCTTTTGTGCTATTGATCATTTGATTCTGAAGATCAGTTTTTAGTATGGAGAGAGCAAAATTCATGTTTCTCAGGGGTACATGTATATTGTGGCAAAATGTGGACTAAGTGCTTTGGTAAGTGTGAACTTAAGTTTTACTGCAAAATAAGTAACAATATAAAATAGTAAGTGAAAGAGAACATTTCAATAATCAAAATTGTGTTTAAACTGTGTATTAGCCCTTCAATGTTCGAAAAATAAGCTTAAGTGCTCTCTTGGGCAATAAGTAAAATAATGTCTGGTGGTCTAATGCTCATCCCTCGTGAGTATTTAGCCTAAGTGGGAAACCACCACATTTAAGTGTGTCTGTCAGCCTCTCATCACAAGGGGCATAGGAGAGAAAAAAGGAGTCTGACGCACATCAAGGCCGAGGTGATTTGGTAAAGCTACGTGAGAAAATTAGCATTTTCTTGTGCATATTTTGCTGTATTTTCATCTCCTTTTCATGAGCAGTCTATGTAAGAGTTCCAAAGAGCCACTTGTGAATCACTGTGTCCACTGTACTGGTTCTGTGATGCTTGTGCTACGTATCATTGCTAGCTGCGAGCAAGATTACGTTACTCTCAAACAGAAATAGTGTGAAAACAGAATCTGTGGTAGGATTTAGATTTCACCGATACAGAGAACAAATCAGCAGTTGTAGGACAGAAGCTTCAAGGAGATCTGTGTTCTCAGGGGCTGGAGACTGGGCAGGGCATGTGCCTGCTGCAGAGGATTGAGGCAGTGGATTTAGGCAGCTGAATATCACACCATGCTCTGTCGATGTGCTCAGGTCATATGCATTCCTCATGTAATTTCTTGTAGGAACATCACAGAATGGTTTAGATTTTGGAAGGGGCCTTAAAGAATTTCTGCATCGTTCATAATATAT